AAACCTTGTTTTGTGTCCTTGCTAGGAAACCTACGTTTGAAGCCACCATATACGCACGAATGACAAAGGTACAAGGACATTTTTTTCGATCCATGCAAAAAGTTTAATACATCCGATATCAAGAGAACAGGTACACGCATGAACTTGTGACAACAACCATTTCTGGCGTTATAAAAAAGTTCTAGAGAGGTGCCCTACTCAACTATCGCCAAAAACTACCGTTGTGCTGTCACGTGCGAATTTACTCTAGAAGTGGCTGTGCGACAATCACGATCTAGCAGTGTAAATGAAATTTCTCACAATACTCCAATAAAATAGAAAAGCGGCCTGCTTGTTTTGAAAAAAATCGATGATTGCTTTAGCTGCCCGAACGGCGAATTCAAGCGTTACTTGCACTACCAGCCTAGCAACAAATAGACGTTGCTGTCTTCCCGATTCTGCTCCACATCGAAGGGTAAATAGCTTACCGTTCAAACTCTCTCAATAGGCACAGTTTTTTTTTTCCATACACAACTGTAGCCTTTGACGGCGTTGTTGTACAGATCAGGCCGTTGCTTTCCATCCGCCCGTGTTGCTACCGCTGTCATGTTCCATCAGGACCAGCAGAGAGCTACTTGCTGAATACATTCGGCGTGTCCTTTAATTTCGCCTCAGTAAACATGGCTCTGAGGTGACAATAGCAATAGGCACGCCATCATTAGCAATAGCTACATCTAACACCTCGTTAGACTGTTGTCGAATGGCGGATCGTGGACAAACTGGTTTGTGTTGTTGATGACGGCTTAAGTGAGCGATCTACTATTACTAGCGACCTATATATTGCCTCAGTTTAGTAACGTAAAGGAAAAGTCAATCACTTAGGTAGAATGTATGTATATACTGGTGTGCATATGTTTATGTTGAGCTGGTTTAGGTTGCCATGTGCGGATCCGTTGGGTGGGGGCTGTGCTGTGTTGGTGATCGTAACCGTTCACGTTGCAAACTGTTTTTTTTTTCTAAGGCGCTTCACTTCCATCGACCTAACCTATCGATCACTTTTGCATGAGGTTGAGAATATTGAGGCTATCAAAGCTTGATTACCAGAAGCCCCTATTCTTTCACCACACGTAGCTCCATACAGTTATGTAGCATGCTTCGAGTATCTAGCATAGATACACTCAGCATTCAACCGTAACCTTATTAACCGGTATCAGATCTCAACATAAAATTTATATCTATCGAAAGTGCACAGTAATTAGGGGGAGCCAAATCGTGAAACAGTAAAGACGAGCAGGCAGAAATCGACCGATTCTGTGCTGATAGTGGAAATCAAGGAAACAATAAACTACTGCTATCAATAAATGTTACGCATTTATAGTAGCAATAAAAAATTAGTGTGGCGTAACGTTTCCTATTCAACGAACACACTTTGTGTTTTATGAAAGAGCTATCCCTCAGCGCTCCACAAACTTCTCATTTGAGTTGTACTCTCGTTCGCGTCGTCACAGAATCAAGAAGCAGATCGGCGTTACATCACGGTGAACGGCACTGCGTCCTTTTCGGCTGAAATGACTTATCGGTCCAGAGTGATCTTATACATCATAAGTACAAAAAAAAAAGCATGTCAAGCTAGCCTAAATCAAATGAATATTAATTGCGGTATTATATTTTTTTTACATTTGCAATATATGCCTTATACTGTTCATCATCGGTACTAGATTGTAGATTAACTTTCGATTTGCTCAACGACACTATAAAGTGTGAAACAAAGGAATAAGAATCCATGTAGGCAGACGCCGTCCGTCCGTCCGTCCGCCTTTTTCGGTATTTGAATTCTATATACGTGTCAACGCACAACTGACATCATCAACGCAACTGACGCATCAACAACGCACGACTGACGTTCCCATTGGCCGATACGCTCGATGCATGACTCACTGTTGTGAGTCTTTCTCAATGTTAGTGGCGCATAGGAACGACAGACAATAGACTTGGATTTATAGTGGGTAGTCGAATAAAGCAGGATGTCAACTGTACCATTTTGTTGTAGTTGCGACATCGGCAGAAGTGCGAGTAACAGCAAAAAAAGTACTCGCCGACAGCGTTTGTTTGTCAGTGTGAAGCCGTAATTGTTTTGGTGCTCGGTGGACTCTTCGAAGGAGCTGAGGTTCATTAGTTGTTGCATGAAGGGCCAAGTATATATGACCGCAGTGTCTTTGTATTGCTTTGTTCACATCCTCCATTGTTGTACTGGCATGTAGACAATCGCACACAGAGGGGTATACCACAAACGACGATCTCCTCTGATTCTACCTACGCTACGGCCACGTTCGTGACTATCGTCAGTTTAGCGAAATTTAACCAGCGTTGCCGTATACGCGTGCCGCCTGCAAGTCGGTAGGGCCGCCAAGCTACTGCCATCCACAGTGCTTCAGGGAAACGCGTCGCGGCAGAAGAGGAACGGTACACAGTTCGTTCCGAAAATCGTGCAGCATAGTACGAATCAATGGTATAGCTTGGCTGGCAACGACATGGTTGTTGATATATGTATATAGTAAGTACTTGAAGCTGGCCTCTTATGCCAGTGGTCACCATCGGTCCTGTTTCTGACTAATGACTATAATGGAAGTCGCAACCTTGTTGCATGCAACTGAGAAATCCAGAGTCAGATACACTGGTACAAGTGCTACGAGTCCAACAGACCAATCTTGCTGACTGCCGAGCTCGACTGCTCATTCTCAAGTAAATGTGACAAAATTTTAGGCGGAAATCAGGAAGTCGGGTGGTGTCCAATTGAAGAAAAAGCTGAATACATTTATTATTTAAAACTACCGGTATGCGACTAAGTCTGAGCATAAACTTCGCAAGGGTTATTACGTCAGGTTATTCTATAGCCGTTGACCGGCACGTACCATCCATTTACAGTCAAAGCAGCATTCATTATATTGTGGTATTAGGGGAGGACTTTTTTTTTGCAGAACTCGATGTACCTATTGATAGGGCTATTTTGGTAACGCTCTCTCCTGCGTCTTCCAGTAAGTCCACGTTTTTTTTTACGCAGATTTCCTTTATAATGCGCTATCCTGACCGGTTTGTTACTCACGTACTATGACTACATGCTAGTTATCGTAATCGCGTAAGCGTTCGCCGCTCACGGCTTGCATTCCTGTTGACACACAAACGTCTTGGTAAATATTTGTACGGAAACAAAAACACCAACGATTCCGGTCGCTTTTGCCTCCATCTTCAGAAAGGAAATGATGACACATCTGGGAAATTGATATAATTAACTCGTGCCGATGGCTAAAGTGAAGCTGATTGAAGCTGGATTTTCTGATCTATAAATTATGTAAACATTTTAGCCATGCATTATGATGGTAAATAGCTAAAAAATGCCGCGACAGATTTATAACAGCCGGTAGCACATGCAGAAATTAGTATCACACCTATTGCAGTAGGTCGTCGAAAAAGTATTGATCCTTTCTGGGCTAAAGTTAAAGCAAGTATTTTATATTTTAGAACGTTTGAAGGACAGCCTGTTTTCTGCTGTTTCTCTGCTAACATCATAGTCGCGTCAACGTAGAAGTTCTGACGTTTCTAGGAAAAAAAAATGCTTACAAGTGCTCTATGTTCTTAATAGATAAAATTAACATCCTCAAAAAAGTTCTGCGGAGACTGAGAGCGATCCGCGCTATATGCGAATACGTATTCAAATTTCACACTCAAGTTCCTCAATTTTTGCCGAGCAACTAGAACTGTGGTCTAGCCTTGTTACGCTGAGAAAAGACGCCCCTCCCGTTTACCCGTCGTCTGATCTTTTCGACGGCATTCTGTAGTAAAGATTTATATCAATTGTTTTACTAGGCATCAACAGCTCATGATGCTCGACTTCTTTCGTTACCCCATTAAAATTGTAGCATCACACGGCTTTGGCAGAGGTTGTTAAGGGCATTTTCGGTATACGGTGTAGGTCTCGACATTCCCAATCAGCCGTTCTAGAAGCGACCAAGTTCATTGCGCTTCAACTTCACTACGATTAAATAAGCTGTTTCGCATCGAACTTCTTTTTGTAAGGCATCTTGACTATAAATAGCTCGGTTTTTTTCATGCGTCTTCGTAATCAAATAGCAAGGTAGAGCAGATTTGTCTCATTTATCTTCAAAGGACTCCATCGTAAACTTGCATACGAACAGCACAATAAGTTTAACTTCTAAACGACACCAATACGACCCCGACCGACTCCTTTCACCCCAAATCTATGCCATTAGATAGAGAAAAAGTCAATACTTTCTACACAACCCAATACTGTATAATATATGATCCACTGTTGTTTTTATTTGTTTATTTAATACCACTTAAAGAATATTTAAGTTGTTGCATGTTCCGTCTAAGTATAAACGTTGAACAGCCAGTAACGATATTTCGAGATCTTAGTTTTACCGTTGACGGTGAACCAGGAAGTTCATTGGCATAATACATATTTATGAGGCGCCCACAATCTACGGTTCGTCTTCGATAGTACAAGGACATAGTTGCGTAAAGGTGAATCGAGAATTCGGAGGCGTCTTACGCTGCCTTACAGAAAGACCTGTAACTTATTTCCTAAACATTTATTGAACTAGTGTTGTCCCAATAAACTGGATAGACGTAAAAGTATCACGCGAACAGTAAGTACTTTCTCATAAAGTACCCAATCGTATCTTAGGGATATTTTTAGCAAAGTTATATCCAGTTAACTTCACAATGTACCTCTGGCAAGGGAAAGTGGCTGTCAGGCTTTTCCGACTGGAACACCAAACTTCAATGTAGACTTTTCTCTTTACGAAACAGGCCCAATTTCAACGTGCTTTGAAAACGGATGTCCAATGAAAAAATTTTAGCCGTACATTATTCGAGTAGTAATTATTTGTATCATAGATTGGCATGTAATTACGAGAGCGAGCTCATGTGTGCTTAATTACATTGAAGTTTATAGATCGACTATAGGGTGCAAGGAACCAGCACATTCGTTCTAATCGATAAACGTTGCTTGAATTGACTTTACTTCGTCAAGACTATTTTTTTTTTCGAATAACTGCTAAGTGTTATTGACTATTCCGGAATGTCTGGATAGCCATTTCTATATGGCTACACGCTGCCAACACTTTCTTTGCGGATCTCCTTTTGTTCAAAGTACGTAACGTTCATCTGATACGAACAATAACTGCAGTAAAGGAAAAATGAAAAGTCCTATTTTTGTTTAGCGCGCATATCAGGGCATCGTAGGCGTATGGTGAGATTCGTACGAGTTAACAGTTACCGATTCGAGTCACCTCACTAAGATATATAGGAAGTAGTTAGTATTACGGTTTTTTAGTCACATATGTATTTAGCATGGAACATTTTGCATAGATCCGTGTCTGAGCTATGCCCTGTTTAGGCTTAATGTGTCCTAGCTAATACATGCTGTAAGCCAGTGTGGTACTAGGAGCGTTTAACAAGCGTCGTCTACCCTAGCTCTCAATAAGTCTATTGGAAGCATTTTCTGCCGACCTTAAATAATTACCATGTAACTATAGCATGTTTTCGGAGTTTGTGGACTAAAATAAGTTATCAAGGATATGTGATGCTTATAGGTAGATGCTCTACATCTACCTATATAAAAGCGGGCATAGATGTGCATTTGCGAAGCACTGAATGTATCGATTTCCAATAACTTCGTTCACGTATAGATAAACGAACCACTTTGCCTGGATCCTGGTATAATCTTCCTGCTAAGATTCTGAACGAGATGTGGGCGTGAAAGGACAAGCAAAGAACAACTGAAACTGCCATCTATCGGAGATTCGTGCCCGCTTCTGAATCCTGTTCCGCTGCTCAGAGCTTCGCATGTCCACTACCGTAATCTGCACAGATATAATAATAATAATGATTTTATTATTGTCAAAATGCCTGCTAATTGAACAAATCGCGTCACCAACTACTTACTGATGCCACAAATGCTGCGGCGGCGATGTCGTCTGGTACTTCGATCGTCCTCGTTGCTATTATCGTTGTAGCTGCTTTGTTTGACGACCTCGGTTATTGCCTAGGAGAAGTTGGTAGGAAGTGAAGCTCTTTTCGAGCAATCGCTGCTGCAGCTGTCGTTTCTCCTGTGATACAATGTTGGCGCAATTCGGCAAATTTTCGTTGGCATGGTCAGCAACGAGTAGCTGCTGTCGATTTGCAGACGTAGTGGTGAAGGGGGCGGATTATGGCCTGAACTCAGTGTGTACCCAGGCACTGTTAATTATTGTATAATAAATACCTCCTTACACTAGCTGGCTGATAGTATCCGACGGCCCGAGGCAGCTAGGCTACCCGGAAAAACGGTTGAACGAGACCTTGCCCTTTAGCATGCACAGACGGCCTTGTTAAATTTCGTCGAAGGCAAAAGCAAAAGGGTACGAGGGATCGACTACGTATACAAATACTTTTAAAACAGTGATGATGACGGGCACCTTGCAAGTAACATTGCAGTTGTTGCTAGAGTTTATAGCAATGATCGTATCAAGGAGATATTCGGTTGTTGAGGCCAGTAACTACACCAACAGCCGAATGATGGCCAACAGCCTGCTTATAAGAAGCACCATCAATAAGTGGTAATGCGGTTGCCGTGGCAACAAGACTACCGATTGTACCGTTCGCCTGCTGGATGTAGGACTCGTAAAGAAGTAGACGCGTTAGATTACATGTAATCTATGTCTGCTAGTATGCCTTATCGGATCAGTCATGTGTTTATGTTTCTGACCTGTTTGTTTATGGTGTGGCGCGATTGTTCGTGTCCTTCACGTTCTCATCTGACTTGCTGATGATCTTACGACTTCCTAGCCTTCTACTATATTGAGGATGACCGCGTGTTGACCTGGAGATCTACTCAAACCTTCGATCTCTCTAGTTTCGACCGCAGGCGTGTCGACTGCCTATAGAGCTGTTTGTACCTCATAGATGATATGAAAGACAGGAGCCTGCTTGGTAGGCCCCGGTTGTGGTCCTGCTTTTAAACAGCTACGTCGTCGAAATCTTTAATTCATCTAAGTCGTCAACGATCAACGGACACGACGAGTAGCCACAACCCCCCATGGCCATCACCATTAGGACGCCCACCTCTGCCGCCACCGTCAAGTGGAAAGAGAACATGTCGGAAAGGGCAACGGGAAGGGTGTCAAAAAGGGAGGGAATTACGTAAACACTGCGGACGTACGCACGCCGATCCGTTTAGGAGAGTACCATGCAGAAAGGAAACGGTGCTCGCGGATCATTCGTCGGACCGCACCAAGCGAGAGCTTTTGTGTAACCTGTGCACCTCGAGCTCAACCGAACGGCGGCGGGTAGCCGGGACGATCAGAACGGATAGCAAATCATCATTGTGTCTTGTTCGTCGACGATCCGATCGACGACAACACCAATTCGAGAGTTGCGCCGGTATCCCAAGTCAAAGTGGTGTGTGTCCGCTCGGAGTATGTCGTAGTGCTTGTACGAGCGCGGAAGTCAAAAGCAACATCCAGCACAACGTTAATTTAGCGTTTAGAAAAGTAGCACGGCGGTAATAATCGGATCGTGCACCATTTCTTCTCATTAGTACTACTACTAGTAAATATAGTTGCGCAGGCCTTTGTCCCTTTTACTTGACACAATGTGATTGCATATGATGCGTGCGTGCCATTCCCTACACGTTCCGATATTTATGATATATACATGTAATACACTATTCTATCTCGTACAAAGCAAGTTTGCTAAAGAGTCACTTGCTACCGCTAGTTCGCGTTTTGTTCGCCTAGAATCCTGTATAAAATTCGTAACCATATTAATAACTCATAAGTAATACGAGGCGTGTTATTTCTATTTCGGGAGCGTGTGTCAGTCGATGGGTGTGCTGTTAAGCTCTTTAGAGAAAGGTTGATGAATCGAAACTAAAAAAAAAGATCAAGCGAGTCTCGGCGTCACGTAAGTTGCTGTTTTCGGTGTTTTTCCGTCGTATATACATATACTTATATAGTCGATGGTTTAGTTATCAGTTTGCACTAACTCCGCGTGAGGCAAGCGTTGTCCTTCTCGATAATACAGAATCAGAAATTTCCGTTACTTCGTTGGTTAGCGTGCTTCAATTAAACAAACTCGATCAAAGTGCTAAATACGAACACAAAGCGATAGATGGAAAACGAGACGTCGCAACGGTGAAAAAGAAAAGTAAAATCGAAGGATTTCTACTAACGTGAAGCAACAACGACGGCAGGATCCTAGAGCTGGTGTGGGCCCGACCCCCGTAGGATGAATGGTGTTTCCAACGGTGTGTGAGGCGGCGGGTATTCCGGGGGGACTGGATGCCAATGTGCGCTCTATGTGCGAGCGACTCTGGATTATCGTTCTGTGCGGGAGCTTCATGCTGCTGCTAATTTCACTGTGCCTTTACAAACTTATTGTGGCTCTATTCAGTGACGACTGCAAGATTCATCCCGCACTTCTCAAGCGTTTTAGGTGAGTAGTGAAGATGATGATAGCAATTAAATGATAACCGTAGGAATCGCTTACTGGCATAAGAGGCAGATTTGTTTCCCTGAGACCAGCGCGAACGCTAGCTAGTTATTATCTGGTCGAGAAAGGTTTACGATCGATTTGGCCGGTAAGTTTGTTTTTTTTCGAAATCAAATACATACATAGAGCTTCTAATTATCCAAGCGCAGCAATTTTCATCGAGTAGTATATTCGAAGCAACTGCATTGGGTCTCTGACTGCTTTTGCTGCCACCCACTGCTCGAAATGTTTATTTCACATTATTTTCTAATATATATCATATCGGTCAATTGTTATTATTTGGCCTGTTATGATAGGTTACGTTACGCGAAAAAGCCCTACTTTTGTCACTTGCCAGTTCGGCGTCATCGCATAGACGTTCAATCAGACAGCCTACGTACACGTTGCGTTTACATCGTGTAAATGTACGCGCCCTCTATAGGCTAGTTCACCTATCGCCTTGGCACTCTTTCACCGGTCCGTGTGGTAACTGCCTTGTGCCGCTGCGCCGTCACGCTGTCGGTCCTGCAGATAGCTAGACCGCGTACTGTCTACAACTCGTCAAAAGTATCCTAGTTTTTGACGATTAGGACTGACAACAGCAGTAGGCGACGACGCTAAGTTGCAATAAGCAAGGAGCGACACGCGCGTTCTATTTGGCATTCAAGAGCTAAGCGTCAGTCAGTCCGTCATCCGCCGATGTCTATAGATTTAGACGAAACGGCCTTTGCTGAGGATTGCATCGGTGCAGGGCTAAACAGCGTTGGCACAAATGAAGAAAAAACGAACAGCTCGAAAGAACAATAGAGATCACTGGCTGTCTCAGTTCATTGAAACAAAAATTACGTCCAGCTAACCGACAATACACTGACATAACTCGGAAATAGAAAATTTTGTTAGCAATAGGAATACGACGTCGTTGCCGTATCAACAATAACAACAAAGACAAGCTTCCCATTCGTCTTCAGAATGCTCCAACTACGGCGACAGGATAGAGCTTTTGAGGAGGCAGCAACAGGTATTAGTTGTCATTGTTACGGCTACTCTCGTTAGTATTCATGCTTATTTGACAGTCTATCCGATGATGCCCATCACGATCCATGAAGCACATTGTTCGTTTGTCGAACAGAACGACAATCACGTCTATTCTAATGTAAGTCTTTGTGTTCCAATCCAAATCATAGGCCGTGTGAGATACCAAGAAGGCAAACAGACTTTTGTGGCGGTTATGAACGGTGGTTTGGCCATTTGTCGGCAACCTCCCTGTTGATGAACATCCCCTCGTCCATTTACTTGCTATACAGTGCAGCTAGTAAACGTGTAAAGTCGTTAAGACTTCCTTCTTTCACCATAACGCGATGTCTGCTGGTCCAAATCGAACTGTTCGGTAGACGGCCTTTGTTGTAGACAGTCGCTCTAGTCCTTCGTTTGGTTGCCACTGCTGCCACCAACTTTCGTGACCATTTCTAACACCATGGCGCTTGATATTGCCTGGCTCCAGTAGCCTGGCACCCGGCACCGTCAGAGCCATTGCATCCATCAGCATCGATGCCGCAGTGTCGACATAAAGCGCTTCTGTCGCTTCGTAAGGCAGGTCCGGTCACTAGAGCGACGGATTGAATTCGAGCTAGGAATTGAAGGTCTTGAAGGTGACGGAACGTGAGTGGAGTCTTATTTTTGCCTATGAGCCACGTCGACGGTCCGTGCTGTAACCCATGCTGGTTATTCCCACCATACACATGCATTGAGTCTGGCCTGACCGAGAAAACTCTTGCGGAATTCGCGGCAGGACAGATGTTAATGAGGCAAGGATGTGCGATTCGACAACAGCGAAGTCATTGCGAGATGTTACCTATTATGTATGTATATGCGTGAATGGTTTTAGCGTAGAAAGGCTTACCGATTTCAACTCAAATCAAATGAGTCGACGTTTATGTATAAGAAAAATTAAAAGCTTTAACTATAGCGGAATTTAGACTCACTTTGGCATTTCCGCATAGAAAGCTGTACACTTCGCGACGTTTGTTACTTTCGAGTGCTTATGCTGTGGGTTGCCAAACAGATATTCGCCTGGCACCTTGCGAAGGTTTCGAAAATAGCTGAAACCACCCTAAACTTAGGCCCTCCTCCATGGCCTATAGCGGTGGCCATATAGTGTCTTTTATTCGGATAACACAAAGTTTCGGAACTTTCGGAAGTTTCGAACAGAAAGTGGTAGAGAGGTTATCGTTTGAAGCACGGATAAAATACTCCAGATAACGTAATCTTATCTTTTTTTTTTGACATTATGATGCAGAAAAAAATTTGCAAGCAAGTACATTTAGCCGGTAGGTAAATTACCTGCCGTGCAGAGTCACAACGGACTAAATACATAGACCATACTATCCAACACCCAGTCTCAGTTTGTATTCCCGCAGTCCTCCAAGGAAGAATCAGATGTGACATGTAGCAAGCACAGGAGTCCTTCAATTCGATATTCTTTGTCGGTGTCCTTTGGTATAATTTCTACTATTATTTCGGCTAATCCTAAGACACTTCCCACCTCACATCGACCCACTGTAAGTCAATCCTTGAACAACGTCAGAGTCGGAATTCTGAGTTAAACGATTTGGCCGTATTTAGTAAATTTCGTTTTACTTATACGACGAATTTTGCTTATTTTAGCTTTTCCCTCTTCAGTTCACCCGTTTACACCTGGCTGGCTGTCGTGGGGATGGATTCGTTGGATGATGCTTGGTTATACACCATACGATATGCGGCAGAGACCGCTGGATTTCATAATCTCGGGTGGCCCTCGTTGTGCATGTTGGTTAGCCCGGGAAATTCGCCAGGTGATATGAGCCTCTTGTATTCTTCTTGTCGACTAATAGCAGCTAGAGGCAAACAATCTAGATTCGTGTTTTCGAAAGATTACGTTTACGCCTGGTGCTCTATGTTCAGTGTAGACTCGTGTAAACCTGTTCGATTAGCTACATAATCCATAACGAATAGGAAATACGATTGAAATAATATAAGAGGCTAAATATATGCAAACGAGAATATAGGCCTGATGCACTAAATTTTTGTCATTGAACAACTGAGATGAGCATCGTATCCTTTATAGACGATGGCATGATAAGTTCAGCTATTGCGGATTAACATTGGAATAAAGTATATCTACTCTGCTATTGTTCAATATGTATAATAAGATTGGGTATAGAAGGAAACGGAATTTACCTGGCCACAATCTTACAGAGAGACATACCTCGGGAATCGTTTACATCTATTTAAGCATTACAAAAAAGAATAATTGGAATTTATAGAGTTTATTCGTATTACCATAACTTTTCCTTCGTGAAGTACCCTTGAACCATTTTGTTGCTTTTTCTTTGGTTGTCTTCTCCTTGCAGGTTTATCATTGAAAAAATAATATTAGTGTGTTAAAAGCCATCATGCAGACATCGTACCACAATGTGTAGACGTTTTTCGCACTTCTAAACTGACGCTATTTAGTACAGGGTCTTGGCTGTGGGTTCGCTTTCAGGAAACACCAGACATTGGTCAGCCAGTCGCTGATTCGGATATACCAATTTTCTTGGCTTAGCTCAGCCTACCGCTATCCCTCCAATCTTTGCTTAGCAGAGGAAATAGCAGCGTAACTTCATACGACCACCGATTTTTGACCGTTCGGAGGTTTTTTCTGGGACAATCCTTTCTGCCGTTCTCGCCCGATTTTCTCAGCTGCTGTATTTGCCTTTGTTCGGTATCAGCCATTGTGTTTTGTACAGTCACTGTATTTCGTGGTTTATCAGCGGATTGGTTCAGTAGCGTTCTTTTTCCCTTATCGTAGATCCGTCCGCCGATCATCTGACACACGTCGGTCCCGCCGACAGACACCTCGAAATCCTTGGAGATTCTTTTATTAGAGGGCGAGGATCTTGGCCAAGCCTTTCGCTTACCCTGTTTTGCCGTGCTGGCTTTTCTTCTTGATTTTCCTTTGAGATCTGAGTCTGAGCTGGTTGGTCTAGTCCGTTCTAGCCTAGTTGGCTAGTCTTGTAGTATCTGGGATCATCTGCATTTGAAGCGAAAAGCAAAAAAGATTTCCTTCAAAGGCGCTTGGCCATTGGAACTTTTTACGAGATCCCTACAAATAGTTAAGGTCCGGTCGGCACATTCTCGTTTTATGCACTAGCCAGCTCTAGCTCGCTCTCTATCAGCGGTTTGTCGTTAATTATGAAAAGTCATTCTGGCTTAACACTGACGGTAACGGCAGCAACGGTCTATTGCTACCGGACTGTTATCGAAATATAGTGCATATATCTTTCAGAGGACGAAAGAATGATAAAAATTGAGGAAAACTTGTTTTTTTTTTTATGTTAATTGGTGAAATGTGCATGCGAATGTGCCGAAATGTGGATTTTCCGACATACGAAAAATTGTGTGCACCAGGAAGTAATATATATTAATATTATTAATTAAACTTCTGTAAATACTTCTATTAAGCCTCCATCCGTCTGCAAAGCAAGCGCTCCACTTTCACATCTTTCGTAAACTATGGTCGTTTCAGACATATTAATAACTTCATACATATCCCTAAGCTGACTTTCTTTAGTAAGATGACTGTCTGCTGGTAGAAAATTTAACTCTCAATCAGATCGACACCAAGCCTTGTCTTAAATAGGGATATCGATCGCTTCTGCTCTACTATTGAATACACGTTAAAGCTGTATCATCTGTGGTGGCCAGTAATTGATTTTTCTGCTGCGTCGTGACTAACGTTTCCGGTGACGCTCTGGGCGTCGTTGAAAGCTGCATTTTTCTTTCATTCTTCTTGTACTATCAATCATAATTTATAGAAACTCACAACTGAAAGAGTATCTGCGGACGTATTAAGATTGGTGTGATTATTAACTGTTCTCTACAGATTACATTCGCTGAAGGGCGCCATGTATCTGACGTCGCTATACCGTAAACGAATTTGAAAA